TATTTTTTCCTTTTCTTGAAAACTTATACTTGCATCCTTTAAAAGACGGACTAACATATATTAGCATTTAGTAAATTATTTGAAGAGCGATATTCTAGAATATTCATGCTTGTCATGGTACTTGAAATATATTTAATGTATTAAATTAAGTAATGTATCTCAGAAGTAACAATTATAATCATTAGCTCTCTAACCTTTGGGTCTGAATAAAATCTATCACTTTTCACAATGAGGAAGCAGAAAATAATATAATAATCAACTGGAGCTAACCTGAAATCATTTAATTCTCTTGGGCCTTTAAGAGACAGGGCCTGGTGGGATGTCATTATGGGACCCTTCCATTTTCTGGCTTCCTGTCTTGCCATGTGATCTTTCCCTCTCTTGTGCCCTCCCACCACTGTGATAACCATGCAGCATGATATGTAGCAGCAAGAGGAGGCCTCACCAGAGCCAGCACTGTGCTGTCTAGACATTCAGCCTCCAAATCCATGAGCTAAATAAACTTCTTTTCTTTATGTTATCCAGCCTCTGGTATTTTGTTATAGTAATGAAAAACAGAATATATCTTCTATTTTAGCAACTTAAGATAAATGAAACACAACTTTCATTTTTAAATAAAAATTACAATACCGTATTTGAAACTGCAAATGTGATTCACATTATGAGAGAATGAGTTAAACAGAAAATACTAGATAATTATTTCTCATGAGTAATGAGTGTGACTTAAAGTTCTCATATTACTTATTTTCAACTCAAGTAAGGACAATTAGGCCACAGGAGTCATTTCTTCATCCGAGTCACTTGATTTGCCTTTTAGTTCTAATTGCCCTAAATCTTTGTCTATAGTTAAATTCTGAGTTTTCTTCTTGTGCTTCTTAGCAACTGCATCATTCGCACAAAGTTTTCTCATTTTAATGTTTGACAATTTCTTCAGATCCAAATTCCATTCCCTAAAGGTTTTCAGACTACTTGCATGTAAAATGTCTGGAATCTCAAGGCCGTAGCCTTAATATTGCTGTTGTTCACGCTCCATTGTCTGCTTAATGACCATCTCTCAGGCTTGGTGGCACCTTCCCTGCCTGTCCTTGATGCTGTTGTGTAACTCAATCTGCTCCAGCTAGCTGCTGAATCGATTTAAATACCTTTCAATTAATTCACAAGTGTCTTTCTTTGAATATCTCATTTTTTTGGGATCCAGCTCATTTTGAAACCACTGCAGTTTTTCACCAATAAGGTTGAGATGTAAAGCCTTTTCATTCTTCAATTTTTCCTTCTTTTCTTGTTTGTGGGCCTCTCTTGTAATTTGTGCAGCTTTTCTACTATATGGGTGGATGATTTTTTTTTTCTGTGTTTTTTCCCTTTGGTGTTTTAGGCATGGTGACATCCTGGGGGCCACAGGGGACCTCCGCACTCCAGATCCCACAGGCTCACAGCCCCGAGTGGCGGCTCTCAGAAATCCCAATGTTCACTCATCACTCCCATAATTCTAGTTTTTGGCTTTGAATGCAGCCATTTTATCTGCCAAATTGAACACAGTTGTTGCTCTTCCCTGAAATAACAAATAGAGTTAGTTGAGCAGGTTGAACATGTCACTTGAATAAAACAAGTTTTGTGAATCATTCTTTGTCACTGAAGTGTGCTGCCAGAGAAATTGCTGAGGCAATTTTCATAACTCAAAAGCCCTGACGAGCAATCTATTTTAGAAGCCATCTCCTTTCTGTGTATAAGAGAAGACATGTGTGCTCTGTGTGCACCCCCTCACAGAGGTGCATGAACAAACCTGAGTTAAGGGCATGTACTTAATGTAGTTAATAATTTTAATCATACCCTGCAAAACCTTACTACATTTCAGATGGCATTTGCAGTTAGCCAGCCTTTCTCTCTGGGTGACAAAGTCCGTAAACTCACATTCAGGGGCAACCTGTTTGACCTGAGCAGTGAAAACAGAAAGCTGCCCAGTCTTGACAGCCACTTCATCTGTGCATAAACCTACACAAAATGACCAGTCCAGCTTTCCTGATACATAATCACTCAAAGACTTGAGTAGTTCTGCAGCTGTGGTGTTGGTTGGCAACAGAAGGGTACATAACATATCCTCATGCACATACTCCTGAAAAACATATCACACAAAAACAACCATTGTGTCCTTACTGTCGACATCAGTGGACTCATCAACCTGGATTGAGAATTATGCTGACTCGTTAATCCCCCTCTGCCTTTTCGCCAATTCAGCTAGGGATGGTGTAGCTGAAAGAGGGACCCACGCCACTTGTCCAGCTGTAGGATCCCCTAAGATTTCCCAACAGATGTCCTTCACAGCAGGCATGATCCACTGCTCCCCACTAGTAAAGGGCTCCCTAGCTTTAGCAATGCATTTAGCCTCTAAGAATGAGCTCTCAGAGTAGACATATTTGGTGAAGTGGTGGTTTTAATACTTATTTCTGTTTTTCATCTTCATGTTTTTTTGTTTTTCTGTTAAAAAACTCCAAGAGCTTGTCTTTTAGTGC